AAAGATCAAATCACATATTCAACTGGTTCTGGTTCACTTCCATATGCAGTCGGTGTTGGTGATTTCAATCATGATCAACATATAGATATAGCTGTAGCTAACTATGGTGCCAATAATATTGGTATTGTTCTTGGAACTGGTAATGGTACTTTCATGTCACAAATTACTTTTTCTACTGGCTCATCTCGTCCATTATGGATTGCTGTTGGTGATATGAACAATGATAAACAACTCGATATAGTCGTTGCAAATTATGGTACTAATGATATAGGCATTCTTTTTGGAGATGCTATTGGAAATTTTGCAATACCAAAAACATTTTCAACTGGCTATGATTCTGTTCCATATTCACTTGTTGTTTCGGATCTTAACAATGATAATAAACTTGATATTATTGTTGTAAATCATGGCACTAACAATGTTGGTATATTTGTTGGGCGTGGAAATGGTACATTTGAAGCACAATTCATAATTAGTACTGGATATGAATCTCAACCTTATTCAGTTGCTGTTGAAGATTTAAATAATGATACTTATATGGATATTGTAGTTGCTTGTTCTGGTTTAAATACAATTGATGTCCTCTTAGGCTTTGGAAACGGAAGTTTCACAATACCATACAAATATTCAACTAATAACAATTCATTTCCATTATCGCTAGTAATTGGTGATTTTGATAATGATACTCAACTTGATATTGCTGTAGCAAACTATGACAATGAAAGTGTGGGTGTATTTTTTGGATATGGAAATGGATTTTTTACAGATCAACTAATATTCTTCAGTGTTGATTACAATTTTAATCCATATGCCATTGCTGCTGGTGATTTCAATGGTGACAATCGATTAGATATTGCAGTGGTCAATTACGATTACAATTATGTTGATATCGTTCTGACATATCGAAATTATACGTTCTTAAGTCAAAATACCTATTCAACAGATAATGGCAGTAATCCGACTTCCATCGCTGTTGTCGACTTTAATAATGATAAGCAACTGGATATTGTCGTCGCTAATTATGGAACAGATAATATTGGTATATTTCTGGGTTATGGTAATGGTACTTTCTCAACTCAAATAACTTATTCAACTGGAGACAATTCTCAACCACAAGCAGTTACTATTGGTGATTTTAATAATGATAAACAACTAGATATTGTCGTCGCCAATAATGGAACAAATAATATTGGCATATTTCTTGGGTATGGTAATGGTACTTTCTCAAGTCAAACAATCTATTCGACTGGCAATGGCTCTAGGCCACGTGATGTCGCTGCTGGTGACTTTAATAATGATGGACAACT